TCTCTACCCACTCCCCTCACTCTTTGCCTTGTTAGTGTTTGGTCAATTCGAGTGTGAAAATGTTTTCGAGCTTCTGCCGTCGCTCGCTTGTTTACGCTTGATGAAAACGAAGGGGCGGCGGTGGGTGAGTTGCACTTAACGACCTTGGGAATGTGCAGTGCAGCGATGAGGGGTCGGCGGTGGGGCACCGCTTACATGAGCTGCATTCTAGTTTTCCTGTTCTCTCTTTCTATTTTTTTTGCCAGCAATCCGCCGACAGCGTTTTCCGCCTTTTGGCATTTCATAATTTTCCCTTTTTTGACATTTTTATGCGAAAGTTAAATTTCCCTGGGCCGGGACCCCAAGGCGAGACAAGGAACCTTCGTCATCGTCATCATCATCATCATCATGATCATCACCATCTGTATCTTTTTTGTGTTTTTTATACCCTTGCAGAGGGTATTATAATTTCAGTCAGAAGTTTGCAACGCAGTGAAGGAGACATCTCCGACCCTATAAAGTATATATATTCTTGATCAGCATCACTAGGCGAGTCGATCTAGCCATGTCCGTCTGTCCGTCTGTCCGTCTGTCCGTCCGTTTATATGCAAACTAGTCTCTCAGTTTTAAAGCTATCTGCATGAAACTTTCCCAAAAGTTGTCTTTCTATTGCAGGTAGTATATAAGTCGGAACGAGCCGGATCGGACGACTATAGCATATAGCTCCCATAGGAACAATCGGAAAAATAAATGAAAAAAAATTATAACTTTGCTGTTTTTTAATTTTTTGTTTAGTTCTTCGACATTTAGTAATGGTTAAATATTTCCGATTTACGGTTTAAATTGCATTAAAATCGGACGACTATAGCATATAGCTCCCATTGGAACAATCGGAAAAATAAATGAAAAAAAATTATAATTTTGCTGTTTTTTAATTTTTTGTTTAGCTCTTCGAGATATAGTAATGGTTAAGTATTTCAGAATTATGTTTTAATTTTCATCAAAATCGGACGACTATAGCATATAGCTCCCATAGGAACAATCGGAAAAATAAATGAAAAAAAATTATAACTTTTCTGTTTTATAATTTTTTGTTTAGTTCTTCGACATATAGCAATGTTTAATTATTTCAGAATTATGGTTTAAATTTTATCAAAATCGGACGTCTATATCATATAGCTCCCATAGAAATAATAAAAATATATAAAATAACTATCTTATAATTGAGCTGCAAATCATCATAGTTTCAATGTTTTTCAGCATATACTCAAGTAAATTATAATTTAAATATTTTCTAAAGTATTTAATTCATGCAATAGCTGCAAGGGTATATGAACTTCGGCTTGCCGAAGTTTGCTTTCTTTCTTGTTTTTTTGTATTTTCTGTTGTTGCACAAGTCACGGCAATTATGAGGGGGCAAACTCTGAGCACTTGAACTTGAACCCACGAAGGCTGCCCACAAGCGGCTAGCAAAGCGAGTGGGGTGACCTTCGCCCCGTGGGTGGGGTGCTAGTAGGTGGCCTGGGCTTAGGTGAAAGGGGTAGGCCCAGGATATGTAAAGCAGCACGGAAAAAAATTATACTTCTATCTGCGATATTCAGTCAATTAAAACAGTATGTAAAACTTTCACAATTCCTATAGTTTTAAAGGTAATATATAAGATTTTTTATGTTTGTACAGATAAATATAATTTTGTTTTTAAATTAATTTAATTTTTTGTAAAGTAAAAATGAAAAATAGATTACACAGGTTGGATTGCGAACACAATTCTTTGTAAAGTTGAAACATTATATAAATAACCATAATAATAAAACGGATAAAGTAACCTTTGTCTATTTTGAATTGTATTGTTTAAAAAAGTCTTAAATTAATCAAACAATTATTAATAAAACTAGCCATAAATGGTATGTTTAAAACTGTTAAATATTCGCAAAACTATTTGAGGCATTTAAACAACTAAAATTGGCTGTCGATTGACTGAGTGATGAACATCAAAGCCTTGAATAATTATGCAGTGCTAAGTGTTGCCTCTTCGAAAAGTGGATGCAAATGCAACCATCAGGATGGCACAAAAAAAAGGCAGATGGCCTCTTTTTCCGCAGTTGGTGCTGTTCACTGTGCCATTGGTGCTATTTCAAGTGTTCGACAGGCAGTATCGATTATTCAGTTTTGCGGGAGCAGCAACACGACCATCGGCAGAGGCCAAGCCACACGCATACAAATTTGTCTCGATGCAACAAAGTTGCCTCCGTTCCAATGCTTCCCAGGCCCAGATCCCTTGGAAAATGGTTGTGGAAAACAGATTTTCACGTTCTATTGCATCTCCGTCGCTGCTCTTCAAACTTCAGGGTCCTTCGTCCCTGGGGCTCCTGTTCGCCGCATTAAATATTCATCTACTTCGTCATCGTCTGTCGTCTGTCGTCCTTCGCTGTCATCGTCCTGGTAATCGCAAATTCAGCGCTAAATCACAATCAAAATGCGCGTAAAGTGGCATTTCAAGTGATTCTCCTCCTTTTTTTTATGAATTTCAAATTGCAAATCATTTCGTTGATTAAATTGTTGAAAATGTTCGAGTGAATTTCTATTTCTTTGGCACAAATATGGTTCTTAGTGTTTAAGAAAAACAACATACTTGCGTTGTACAAATAGGAATGCAATTTTTCTCGAGACATTAATTGAACTGAATTTTAAAATATTTTAAGTGGTTTACAGGACACTAATTGCTTAAATTGCGGTTACTAGCTTACAACTTTGAAATATAATCTATAATACCTATTACTGTTCATTGCGCAACGTTACGACCTTAATAATTAAACATACACACATTGTCCATTAGCCTATTTTTGAATGAATTGCCCCCATATCGATTAAAAAATAAGCCATGTAAAAGTACTTGTATGTGTTTTTCGCCTTAAGTTTGTTATTTTTGAATTTCAAATAGTAGTTTAGTAGAAAAATGAGAGTGCATGTGAGTGAAGTGTGTGAGAAATGAATATACAAGGACGAGAGGAGACAGCTGGCGGTTAAGTGAATTATGTCTGCAAATGATTTTTTCTTGTTATCCAGTTTTTGCTGGATTTTCCTCTTTTTCTTTTGGGTTGTCACCTTTGCATACATTTTCATGGTTTTGAGTGCAGCTGACTGTCGAGTGTGTTGTGTATGTGGTGTGCCCTGTGTTTTGTTTTTACTTTAAATTTGCAATTTAAATGTAATTTCTCAGGGCAAATGGGTTACTTTTTATTTGGCTTATGACAAATGCACACCCAGGCGAAACGCACAGATTTAATGCTTTCGGACAAGTGGGAGGCATCGAGGTGGTGAAGTAGGTGGTGGTGGTGGTGGGCAACGACGAAGGTCATGTACTCGTTCATTGGAAAAGGGCCCTGTAGGTACATTGCCAATCTATATACAAATATGTATGCATATCAAAACATATCATATATCAAAACCAAGTAAACCAACCTCAAAAGTTTGAACAAATTTTTCTTCTTTTTATACCCTTGCAGAGGGTATTATAATTTCAGTCAGAAGTTTGCAACGCAGTGAAGGAGACATCTCCGACCCTATAAAGTATATATATTCTTGATCAGCATCACTAGGCGAGTCGATCTAGCCATGTCCGTCTGTCCGTCCGTCTGTCCGTCTGTCCGTCTGTCCGTCTGTCCGTCCGTTTATATGCAAACTAGTCTCTCAGTTTTAAAGCTATCTGCATGAAACTTTCCCAAAAGCTGTCTTTCTATTGCAGTTAGTATATAAGTCGGAACGAGCCGGATCGGACGACTATAGCATATAGCTCCCATAGGAACAATCGGAAAAATAAATGAAAAAAAATTATAACTTTGCTGTTTTTTAATTTTTTGTTTAGTTCTTCGACATTTAGTAATGGTTAAATATTTCAGAATTATGGTTTAAATTTCATCAAAATCGGACGACTATAGCATATAGCTCCCATAGGAACAATCGGAAAAATAAATGAAAAAAAATTATAACTTTGCTGTTTTTTAATTTTTCGTTTAGTTCTTCGACATTTAGTAATGGTTAAATATTTCCGATTTACGGTTTAAATTTCATCAAAATCGGACGACTATAGCATATAGCTCCCATAGGAACAATCGGAAAAATAAATGAAAAAAAAATATTACTTTTCTGTTTTTTAATTTTTTGTTTAGTTCTTCGACATTTAGTAATGGTTAAATATTTTCGATTTACGGTTTAAATTTCATCAAAGTCGGGCGACTATATCATATAGGTCCCATAGGAACAATCGGAGAAATAAATGAAAAAAAATTATAACTTTTCTGTTTTTTAATTTTTTGTTTAGTTCTTCGACATATGGCAATGTTTAATTATTTCAGAATTATGGTTTAAATTTTATCAAAATCGGACGTCTATATCATATAGCTCCCATAGAACTAATAAAAATATATAAAATAACTATCTAATAATTGAGCTGCAAATCATCATAGCTTCACTGTTTTTCAGTATATACTCAAGTAAATCATAATTTAAATGTTTTCAAAAGTATTTAATTCATGCAATAGCTGCAAGGGTATATGAACTTCGGCTTGCCGAAGTTTGCTTTCTTTCTTGTTAACAATAAAAGTAGCTATGTTTAAACAGTTTTTGTAAGATATTGCCCTTTAACTTATTAAAAATTCTATTCTAAAAGTTTACTTTCTTGTTAGTAGCTCAAAAGTAATTAAAGTAAGTAAGCTTAAGTAAAGTTCTTAAGTCTTTCATGTTTGAAGTTTTCTTTACCGGGAAAAAAGGCGGATTGAAACACGAAATTGTAGCATTTAGCATATAAATAAAGTTTTTCTCCCGGCGGAGAAAGTGCATGAAAATAAGCTTTACGCCGATTAGCAGTTGCAACATTTTAATTTTCGCACAAGTTTTGCAAGCCAATTGTAAGTATTCCACGGCGATGTCGCCATCTGTTTGCAGCTGTTTTCTTTTCGTTTGTTTTCCCACTTTCGAGATGTTTATTGTTCGTTGAGCAGCGGAGAAAAACTATTAACAAAATGTCTTTGACGCCGAGCACTCGACGCATTTTTTTCATACTTGCACTTTTCAATTTGTTGGACCAATATTATTGCTCTGAGTTTGTGAATAAAAGTCAGGATTCCCTGCTGGCTGAGGCTCAAATAAAAATCCTTTTACTGACTCTCCTGGGTCTTGGCCTTCTGATTCTTTTCGGCTTATTGGGTGAGTTTGAATGATTACCATTCCGTTGACCAACGCTCACGGAGCGGAGATTTCCGATTTCCTCCGGTCAGGATGTATCTGTTGTTTCTTCCGGATTCCGGAGGAAATGCCACCGACATCCGATGGCCTCGATGTCTACGCCCCGCGAACCCAGAGCATCGTGTGGCCCACTTTGCCCCAGGAGGCGGCCCACATCCTGGAGATGACCTTCATTCACACCACCAAGGTCGGCTGCCTTTGCTCCGATTGTCGCATCGCCAGGAACTCACTGTGCATCGAAAGCTGTGGGGTCATCACGCAGTGTGCTTAGAAATGTCTACATTTTGAGACATTCGACATGGGTTTTGGATGTCATTCAAATAGATTTAATGAAGCTACAAACTACTGCCTTTCTTCTAGGATATAATATCAAATCAGTACATTCCAAGGTCTCTTTTATCATAAAAATGTTGTATTAGTTCTGGGATTTTACACTACGCTTTTCCAAATTGTTTTTGTTTTATCCTGCACAAAAAAATTATCATAGAAACTAAACTGTTATTAAATAAATTTTAAAATATTAGGTAATAAGATGTGTAAATCCACGTAAGAACCGAAGTAAAATGTTATGTGGTTTAAACATAAGACCATAGACTACAGTTTTACTCTCTTCGGTATTTACTTTAAGGATAAATTAATAAAAGTATTGTAGTTTACTTTCAATACACTCTTATTAAAAATAAATATATAATTTTTTGGGCGTTATACTTTATTAAAGTTATACTTTGAGTTAATACAGTTTTAAATATACATACTTTTATTTTGAGTTCAATCCAACTTATGCATTTTAAATGACCCTTTTTCTAAACTCTGTGAACCTTGGTTCCTAGAATCATTGCCTTTGGAATGTGTTTGTTATTTTAATTTAACAAAAATTAAGCAATGAGAGTTATTGAAAGATTTTAAATTGTTTACGTAAAACATTAATCCTATATTTATTTATTCTAAAAAAATTCCGCTGAATAATAAATTTCCTTAAGATAACATTCTTTCCGCACTAAAATGAATCGTTTTTAAGATGTTTATCTAGGCCTACAAACAGCTGTTTTGTTGATAAGTTACGCCTGGGCCCGAGTGCTTTTAGTTTGTTCAGTTGCATTGGAACAATCGTCGGAACACCATGATTCTGTTCGCCCAAGGAAACCCAGCCAGGTGGATCTTTCTGATGGTCACCTCGATTTGCCATGCTCACCTGGTCGAAGCCGATGGCAACTTCACGGGTAATTGCACTATTGAATGCCCCCGTAGTCCGTTTGATTATTGTTTTTTTTTTTGTTGTATTCCCGGAAAGACTATGACTGGCAAAACGAAACGCAGCTGCTCGAAATGTTTGAGTACGAGAACGAGAGCGAAAATTACACTACTGAGAATTACGCGGAATCCGATATGGAAACGCCAGAGGAGCTGGAAAACTCTAGCATTGGCCAAAAGGCTGACAAAGGTGGTTACAATGCCAAAATTGAATTTCCATTTGAAGAGTTGCGACAACATCGGCACTATGCCCGTTTTGTCTTCATGGTTTTGCTTTTACACATTGCCGTTGTGGGAGTTGGTAAGTTGACATAGGTTTTGAGTTCAAAGAACTCTTAAATAGCTTTTTGTAATTTAATCTTAACAGATTTGAGTCTTTATTGTTAAGTATTGTAAATACTTTTAACTAATAGGCATAACTGTCTACTGCTGTGTGTTCTGCAACGTGAGGACCTGGAAAAAACGAACGAGGTTAGAGGTACATCGACGTCTGCAAATGACTAGCCTGAAGTCCTCGCACATTCCCAATGACCGCGATTGCCCGTGCAACGGATGCATTTTGGCCAGGGAAATGCTGCAGAGTTTAATCATGCAGCAACTGCAAGAACTGGCCGAATGCTGACCCAGAATGCCCTTTTGGGAAGAATTTATTTGCAAAAATATATGAGAACAAATCCCATGCATGAATTTGGCAGCTGAATGCAACCTCCGAATGACATTGATGCTGATAAAAGGGAGCAGATATCCGTAATTTGTGTGCACGTGGATGAACTACAGGCAAAAAAATATGTTATTAAGTAAATGATATTTATGATAAAAAAGTCCTGTACCTGTTCATAAATAAACCATAAGAAAACTAGACTGTAATTTAAATGCTTACAAAAATATGGAAAGAATGGTAAATATTTATTATTCTTAGAATTATTTATATCCTGGTGGCAAAAAATGTTTTATATAGGGCCACCAGTCAAGTATATTAAAAAATTTTAAATATATTAGATTCCTTTCCTTATTAAGTAAGTAAAAAAAACAAATATTTAAGTTTTTTATAAAATCTAAAATTAAACTTTTAAATATTTTTTTAGTTTTTTTTTCAATTATCTTTTATGCGAGTGGTACTTTCAGGTGTTAAATAATACTTGATAATTTTATATGCCAAATATAATTTGATTTAAATTGTTTTTAAATTCTAGTATCATAGTTGTCCTTTGCGTGTGACAAATGTGTTTACGCAACATGATTTGACTTTCATATGTTGCATAAGAGCGCGCTTCTCTTGAAGGCGTCTCACGCTTAAATGGACACAAATGCAATTTTAGCCGCAGACAACTAACACAATCGTCCTTTCACATCCACATCCCCATCCCCATCTGCATCACCATCCGCATCCCCATCACCGTCCAGCAATATTGGCAGTTGCATTGTCAGGGAAATGCAACAACATCTGCGACGGAGAGATAGTGAGTGAATGGAGCGGGAAATGTCGGAAAATCCAGGGGAAAGCTTGTGCTGACATGCACAAGCAGTTAAACAGCTTATTGCTGTAGTCGTGGCTAGCTTTTCCTGACCCCAAGCTCCCTAAGTTCGCTCATTGCAAAGGTCAAAGTACACAGCATTGGCCGTCGTTGCTTCTTTAGTTAATACAGCACGTTTGCATTAATAAAAACAAGTAATCCATTTTCCTGCCAGACAATCGAAATCCTAATCAACTTTTGCTGTATTCATTTAAAGACATATTGAGAAATATTGTACATACCAACCTCTATAATGGTTGCCTTAAAAAATATAATCTTCCACGAAGTTTTTCCAGAAAATTGATTTGGTTAGTTTTACAAAGAGTGCAGCGTTAAATTTCATTACAGTTTTAATGGTGTTATGTACATTATTTTGACTAGGTTATCAGAAGTAGTTATGTTTTGTCTTTTTAATGACCAGCACACACTTCAAAATGAAGGTCTTTTTTGCAACTGTACCTTATTTTTATTGGAGTTACAACAGACAATTTGTGGATAGGTCCTTTCTATAAAATAACCATTTGTATAAATTATTATGTACAGGTTTTAATCTAATTATAAATTTAAATATCTTTAAACTGTTAAAAATATATTACGATTTTGTAAAATATATTTTAAACCAATTTTCATAATATTCATTTAAGGTGCACAATGCCACAAAACAAAATGACAAAAGTCCTAACAAATGTCATTAAATAGTAGCATAATAGCAAAAGCAATGAAAAGCTTTACTTTTTATAAATATTTTAAATCGTAATATTTGCATTAGTGGCATGTATTATATTTAGTTCATACATAATTCAAGAAAAAAAACTTTTTAAGATTCTTTATTTTTTTGTTCACTAGATTTTTTCTAATATTTAGTAAAACACTTGTTTAACATTTAACTATGTTCACCCAATAAGGTTTACCGAAACTCAGAGATATCAATTTACCACCAGATCCCTCAACAAGTTTCCCGGACAATAAGTCAACACATCATCCACATTGCGTATACGACATGGTTGACACAATACACATCCAAATCTAGCCATCCATCAGAATATGGTCTTAAGTCTAATGCACTGGATGCTACGATGTCACTGATCACATTTTTAGTCAGCTCGCTGAAGTTTTTATTGCTATTTGATTGCGATTTAAATGTACACACAAAAGAAAAGCGCTCGGAGCCAACCGAAAAAAAATAACAAATAGCAAGGAAAATAGGAAAAAAAAGCCAAAAAATGTAGAAAAAACTGAGCCTGAGCCCTGGCAAACACGCACAAAACACGGACAGGCCAATGCCAAAAGCCCGTACGCGAAGGAAACAACGCACGTTCATGCCGAACAGGAAGGAAGGCACAAGGCACACAGGAAGAGGTACAAAAAGCGACACAAGGATAGAGAGGGGGGTAAGGGGGGGAAGGACCCTAGTAGAAGAAGAAAAGTGCGCGCCAAGGGCAAGAATGCTAAAGTAGCGAGTAAAACGCAAGCAGTCACAGCTATAACTATACCAAAAGCCACCGAAGCTGCAGGAGAAATTTAAAAACATTATCGAAGATTTGCTAAATGAAGAAATCAATATGTAAACAATTGAATTTATAAAACCATATTCGATTAGAAATCCGTATAGAAAATATAATTTCTAAATATATGGCTAAGTCAAATTGCCTTAAAAATTAAGATTTAAACAATTATAATATTTTCTTAAGGAGGCTTGACTGTATAACAAAAACAAAAAAACTCGACATAGACATTCCAATAACAATGAAGCCAGAAAGCGAAGAAAAAATCCGCCGGAGTGAAGGAGGCAGGCAAAACTTAGGCAGAATGAGCAAAAGTATAGCAAAAGTAGTAAAAAGTTATCGGGACTCGGCCTGAAGATGCCGCAAGGAGTGCGGTGGGGTGGAGAGGTGTGGAGAGGGGAGGGGACGAAAGGGTACTCAGCGGGTGGAAGCTGGAATTAATTTTGCGTTCATCAACGCTTGGCTTGAGCGGAGGGCCAGGAAGAAGGGACTCTTGGCCAACTTGTGGCAAATATTTGCCCAGCCCGAAGTATCCATTCGGCCCGGAATTGGATGCACCTGATGCCCAGACAAGCGATTGCACTTCGTAGGCTAAGGGGTGCGGGCAAGGGGGCTTGAGAGATATACATGCAAATTTATTGAACAAGTCACTAAAATAATGAAAATTGCGGTTTCAATCAGGTTTCAATTTTAGCTCAATCTAAGTCAGGCTGCCAGTCGTTTAATTTCAGTTGAAACCGTTGTAGGCAGTCTCAAAAAATATAGAAGTTCTTGTTAAAAATGGTTTTAAAGAAGTTTCTAAGCCTCTTTAAGCTAATACGTAGTTTTCAGTCACTAATATTTCCAAGAACAAAAATGTATCAGGAATTAAAAGATCAAGTTGCCAAGGTAAAAATGGAGTTCAAAAAGCAAAAAGCTTGAATCGAAATTGTTTTCAGTAAGTTTGCATTTAATCTACCTATTTTACGATTATTTTGGTTGTTAAAATAAGTTTTGTATTCTTTAAATTTGAAGTACTCGCCATCTTTGGGCATTTAATTACTTGAAAGTTTTCTCAAGTGTTTTCTTAAGTTGAATGGATTTAAAGTTAAGTCTGGTTGTTAAGTCCGGGATAACTTTCGCCCCAACAGAAGCCTTCGTTTCCCCGAAAAAGTATGCTTTGAAAATGTAGCAGTTGCTGTGCATTTTCATGGCCATTTCCAGTGAGCAGGCAGCTCGGGTTGAGGCTGGTCAGGATGTCAGGATGTCAGGGTGTCAGGACGTGGGCTGTAATCAGCCTGCATTAACGGCGAATTAACCAGACAATGCAGTTATCCTGCTGGCAGGATGTGCCATGAAATGCCGCCTTATTAGGCAGGGACCTTGGCTTGGGCTTTGGCTTTCTACTCACTCTCGTCAGGCTTTAATTGTTTTAAATATTTACTGCCAGGACTCGAAGGACACTCCCACCAATACACACACGCACACGGCACACACACACACACACACACACACATGCGTACATTACGCGGGACTTACACAATTAAGAATTGGCTTTGGTTTTTCCTCTCGACTTTTCTTCACTTTTCTGCACTTTTTGCGAGGATCTTTTCGGTGTGGTGAGCTCAAGCGAATGTAACAGCGTAGAATTTCCAGACGAAAGTTGTTGTTTTGCGCTGTTTGTTGTTTGTCCCAACTTTTGTTGTTTTTTGAGTCTGCTCCCGTGGGTGGATCGAAAACAACGGGCACTTGGAGCGTCCAATTTGGCGGACAATTCGAAAGCGACTAAAAGTGAAACGGAAGCAGAAACTGAAGCAGTCAGCAGCAGCAGGAGAGTTCCGCTGACAGTGTGGGTGCGAATTGCGAATAGTGAAAAGTGAAAAGCGAGAGGCGGAATGCGAGAGAGAGAAAAGCGAACGCTTTTCTTTATTCGGGGAGCGTGAAAAGCTCCCGAAAGCATAAGCTCTTCCCACGCTCGCTTGCCATAAAAGTTTATGGCAGCTGCCGGGCGCTGCCTTTGATTTGCAATGTGATTTACGGCCAAATGGAATGGACTAGGATATTGGGATGCTGGCGAAAAAAAGGCAGTGGGAGTGGTAATGCCATTTGGGGCACTGAAAAAAATTCACTTCAATTTATATAAGTTATTTGAAATAAAAACTTAACGCCCAAAAGAAAGCGAAGTTCGTTTTAATTAGCCATACCTTGACTTAGTAAATATTAATTGAAATGCTTTTTTTTTTACACCCAACAAATACTCTTATTAAAGTATAAGAATTAATTCAATACTAAATAATAATTCAAGCCATTTAATATTACTTAGAAATTTTAATGCAGAAATAATGTATTGAATTTGCTCTCATTGTACCTGTTATTTCTTTCCAGTGATTGGCTTTTAGTGCAACTGCAAGCTTTTCATACTTTTTGCGGTTGGTTTCGGGGCCAGTAAGTGAACAGTGAATTTGTCCTTGAACAATAACTCACTTAATTAGGCATTTGCATATGGGTGTCATGGGAACAATGTGCGAATTGCCAATTATAATGCGAATCGAAATGCAATTGGTTGATTGACAAAATCATGATGCGATTACTAAAACATAGAATTAGGCAATTTTAATTGGAAA